TTTAGCTTCTGCCTCACCTGCATCTGAGGCTACCAGTGCATCTTTGAGGGCTATGTACTTTACATAGGCCTGCCCCAGGTTTTCATTTTCAAATTCCGGAGCCATCTCATTTCCATGTGCACCGTTCATCTGGTGTTTCGAATGGTCGTGTTGTGCAAAAGCCCCAAGACCCAAAACCGCCAGGCTTAACATCATTACTACTTTTTTCATCTTTACTGATTATTCAAATTATCAAAATCGGACACTGTTTTAATACTTTGGGAATGGGTCCGTTTCATTCCGTTAATTTTATTTTATGCTATCTTCAACTTCTCCACATCCCAGCATGGCTTCACCGAAATAGGGGTTTTTAATTTCGCTTTCCAGGCTAAGCCAGTCGGCACCCTTGTTATTATCAGCCATGGGGCAAAACTGAACGTACAGGGTCTGGTCATAGGGTTTAAAAGTCTTCGTAAGCATTTTTAGTTGTGAAGAGATTTCAATAAAGTGTTCTCTGACTTTTTTGATATCCTCTGTAGCCGAAGCTTTTCCTGCTGCCGATTCCAGGGCACTGCTATGCTTCATCCATACATTGTGCGCCTCTCCAGTAAAGAGGGCCATATTTATTTTGCCCAGTTCCTGTTTTAGCTTTTTGGCATTAGCCTGTGCTTTGGAGGCATTGTCATTTACAAGGGCGTCCTTCATTTCCAGGTAAGCATCTATGACCGGTTTCAGGGCCTTTTTGGCTTTAGTACCTATGGTAATACCCTGCTTATGGGCCGTATGCCCGTCTTCTGAGTCGGCAGGGGCATTGCTCGCGCCACCGTGGTTATGACCGGTCATGGCGGGGCCACCTTCCGGGTTCATCATGCTTGGCTTTCCGGCAAGTTGTGCTGCGGCATCAATGCTGAAGGTTCCACTTACAGCTATTTCTTCTCCGGGATCCAGGCCTTCTTTTACAATAAATCCTTCCCCCAATTCTGGCCCCAATACCACCTCGCGCATAATGAAGTTGACACCCTGGGCAGAGCTGCTTTTCACGTAAACTACAGAGCGTTCACCTGTCCACATTACTGCAGATTTTGGTATGACCAGGGCATCTTCATTATACTCCAGGCTGGCATCTACCACGCCACTCGCAAACATCTCAGGCTTTAGCTTATTATTGGCGTTTCGCATTTCCACTCTGGCCTTGGCCACTCTTGTTTTGGGGTTTAATACCGGATCAAGAAATGTAATCTTACCGCTGAATTGCTCACCGGGGAGGGATTGTACTGTGAAGTTTACCCGGTCGCCCTCATCAATCCATGGAAGGTCAGATTCATACACATCAAAAAGGACCCAAACCTTACTGAGATCCGCAATTTCATAAATGGGTTCGCCTTTGCGGATATAGTCACCCAGGTTCACTTTTTTGCTAATGACATAGCCGGAAACATCAGCCACAATCGGGAAATTTTCAATCGTTTCATCAGCATTCAATATCTGATCTATCTGGGATTCTGATAATTTCCAGTTGCGCAATTTTTCAATGGCCGAACGGTAGAGGGCCGGTTGGCTTTCCTTGATTTTGCGAGCTTCAAAAACTTCTTCCTGGGCGGTTACCAGGTCAGGGGAATAGATGTGTGCCAGTAACTGGCCTTTTTTTACAAACTCACCGGTGTAGTTCACATTTAGATTTTCGATACGACCGGGGATGTGGCTGGTCTGGGAAAAAACGAGCCGTTCGTCTTCCTGCACTTTCCCGTTGAGGCGAACTTTTTTCAGCGGCTCCATAGCACCTGCTGTAGCCGTACGTACGTTGGCCAATTGCATGGCTGTAGGCGACATGGATATGGCCATAGGATCCATCTCCGAACCGGCTTCATCCTCAAGCGGAATGAGATCCATGCCGCAGATGGGGCAATCACCGGGTTCACTTTGCCGGATCTGAGGGTGCATGGAGCAGGTCCAGACGGTTTCTTCCCCAGCGGCCATTTCGGTGTGTTCATGTACTTCTTCAGTGGGCGTATCCTTGCCAGGAAAAATCAGCCCGCCCGCCAGCATACCGACAACAAGTGTGGCGGCAAGGCTTATCCAGAATGTTTTTTTATTGATAGTCATTGTCTTAATTTTTAGAAGTGATGTAATTCAGTTTTGCTTCCGCTATTTTGTACTCGGAGAGGCTGGTAGCCTGCATCATTTGGTATTTCAGCAACTGTTGTTGCATGCGAAGCACTTCTTCAAAGTCATTTCCGTTATTGGAGTAGGAAGTGAACAATAGGTTCAGTGCCTGGCCCGTTTCATCGATTTGTTCACGGTATAAATCGAGGTTCTGACGCTGCTTTTCCATCTCAAACCAGACCATCTCGTAAGCACTTCCCAGGTTGTTGGCCATTTCCTGCCGCATATCCCTGTACGCTTCCTGCATGATTCGCGCTTCCTCTTTGGCTGCCTTGTACTTTCCCCTGAAAATGGGAAGACTCATGGTCAACATCGGCATCACTACATCCTGCCCATTGTCAGCAAGATCCATATCGGTGCGTTCACCTACCAAAACATAATCGAGACCAAGGCCAAAACTGGGGAGGCCTTTGCGAATGGCCGCTTTTTCCTGTTCCTTCATTGCTTCTTCCTTGAGGCTCAGCTCTTCAAGCAAGGGGTGGTTTATCAATAAACTGTCCCTGCGATAGCCATCTGGCAAAGGAGATACATTTATAGTATCCACAATGCTGACGGTTTCCGAAGCATCACGGTTCAACTGGTTGTTGAAACGGGTCAGCAGCGGCTGGCGCTTATCCTCCAGGATATCGATGTTGGTGCGGGCATCCTTAATCATGATATCTACCCGCAGCACATCTACCATACTGCTCTGGTTGTTTTCGTATTTGCTTTGGGCCAAAGTCATAAATGACTCCAGTATTTCAAGGTTTTCCCTTTGCAGGCGCAACTGCTCGTCTAATTCGTAGAGTGGATAGTAGGCATCTGCGACCTGGTAAAAGAGCTTGTTGCGGGCATCGATGAAACTCTGGTATTTGGCCTGTGCCATGAGGGCAGCGGCATTACCTTGTGCTTCAAGCGTACCGAACCATGGAAACATCTGGCTCAGTGAAAACTTAGCTTGCTGAGGTCCTACCCGGGTTTCTACCGGTGATATAAAATACCCGAAAGACAAAGTAGGGTCCGGCAGGCTGCTCACCTGCGGCACCTTTTCAAGGGCAGCTTTGAACTCTTTGTACCTGCCCTGCAGGCCGGGGTTGTTCTCTGCAGCTATTTTCTGGTAATCCTCAAGGTCCTGGCCCCATGCCCAAAGTGGCAGGGCCATTACCAGGAGTATGATGACATTTTTTATCAGTTTCATATTTCTTTAGCTTTTGCTTCTAATTTTTTCACCTTTCTTTCTTCCCGTATAGAGTAGAGCACCGGCACAATGAAAATGCTCACCAGGGCAAAGGCCATCCCGCCAAATGTGGGTATTGCCATAGGGATCATGATGTCTGCCCCGCGTCCGGTAGAAGTCAATACCGGCAGCAGCGCGATCATGGTGGTGGAAACTGTCATTAGTGCCGGACGAATTCTCCGCAAACCGGCCTCTAAAACGGCCGCCCTTACCTCATCATGGCTTGTGGGTTTATTGCGCTTAAAGCTCTGGTCGAGATAGGTGGCTATCAGTACGCCATCATCCGTGGCAATACCGAAGAGCGCGATAAAACCTACCCATACTGCCACACTCAGGTTAATGGTGTGCATCTGGAACAAATCCCTGAAGTTAGTACCAAACATACTGAAATCGGCAAACCATCCCTGCCCATAGAGCCATATCATGATAAAACCACCACTGAAAGCCATGGCAATACCACTGAACACCATTAGGGAGGTAGTAACCGACTTGAACTGGAAATAAAGAATAAGGAAGACAATGACCAACACCAGAGGAACAATGATAGAGAGCCTCTTCTCTGCCCGTACCTGGTTTTCGTAGCTGCCGGAAAATTTATAGCTGATACCGGCAGGCACTTCCAGGTTACCTGCATCGATTTCCGCTTGAATAGCCTCCTGGGCATCATTGACTACTTCTACTTCGGCAAACCCATCGCGCTTGTCAAAAAGTACATAACCCACCAGGAAGGTTTCCTCACTTTTGATGGCCTGAGGCCCCCTTACGTATTCAATATCCACTACCTGGCCGATGGGTATTTGTGCACCAGTGGGAGTGGGTAGAAGAATATTGCTCAAGGCCTCAGGATCATCGCGTAATTCGCGTGGGTATCTTACTCTTACAGGGAAGCGTTCCCTGCCTTCAACGGTAGAAGTGATTTTCATACCACCAATCGCGGTCTCAATGGTTTGCTGAACATCCTCTACATTGAGGCCATAGCGCGAAATTTCGTCACGGTCAATATTCAGGTGAACGTATGGTTTGCCCACAATACGATCCGCAAAAACGGCTTCTTTCTTCACAGAAGGCACGCCTTTTAATATTTCCTCAAGTTTCAACCCAAAGTTTTCGATCGTAGGCAGGTCAGGGCCATAAACCTTAATACCCATGGGAGCCCTCATGCCGGTTTGCAGCATCACCAAACGGGTTTCGATAGGTTGAAGCTTTGGGGCTGAGGTGACACCAGGTATCTTGGTCACCTTTACAATTTCGTCCCAGATGTCGTCAGGTGAATGAATGTGATCTCTCCAGTTTCTGAAGAATTGCCCACCATCATCAGGAATAAGCTGTTCCTTATTAACCCCCGCCTCAAGAGCCGCACTGTTGCTAAGCGTATCGCCTGAAGTAAGGATAAAACGGTCTTCATCATCCACTTTATAGCGTTGCCGGAAGCCCTTATCATTGATCATGTACTCAGGCTTATAATTAATGATGTTTTCATACATGGAAATAGGTGCGGGATCCAGCGCAGATTCTACACGGCCCAGCTTGCCAACGGTGAGGTCCACTTCTGGTATATTGGTAAGCAACATATCCAGTTGGCCCACTACCTTTTTATTGAACTCAATACCTGAATGAGGCATGGAGGTGGGCATCAACAGGAAACTGCCTTCATCAAGTGAGGGCATAAACTCTTTACCTACGCCAGGGAATGTGTGAGTTAATCCGCTCCAAACGCTCGTGGTACGGATGTCCACACCTACGGTATCAAAACCTTTGGCAACAAAACCAAACACAGAATTGAAACCCATCCAGATCATTACCCCCAGG